AGAGAGACAATGGAAAAGCGCCACATCATCACTGGAAACAAAGCCAGGGGCAGACTGAGGAACAGACCATCAATTACTCATATGGAAATTCAAACGGAAGCGGAAGAAAATGAAAACAAGTCCACGAGAGCCAAAATATGACCTTAAATATATCCCACCTGAACTTAGAGATCATCTGAAGAACAGATTTGATACATTAAACACTAAAGACCAAAGACCAGAAGAGTTGAGGGATGACCATCAAAAACATCATACAGTAAAAAAGCAAAAAGTCATTAAGAACAAAAGGAAGAAGAAAGGGGTCAAAATGGATTTCAGAAGAGACACTGAAACTTGCTCTCCAGTGTAGAGATGCTAAAGCAAATGGAAGATATGAGGAGGTAGTACAAGCTGAACAGAAAATTTCAAAGGTCAGCTCGAGAAGATGCAAAGTCTAATATTACAACAAAATGTGCAAAGATACTAAGTCAGAAAACCAAACAGGAAGAACATGCTCAGCATTTCTCAAGCTGGGCAAACTGAAGAAAAATTCAAGTCTTGAATTTCATTACTGAAGGATTCTCTGGGAAAATTATTGAATGATGCAGAAAGCATCAAAAGAAGATGGAAGGAATACACAGAGTCACTGTATCAAAAGGAAATGGTTGACGTTCAACCGTTTCAAGAGCTAGCATATGATCAAGAGCCAATGATATTGAAGCAGGAAGTCCAAGGTGCATTGAAGGAATTTGCAAAGAACAAGGCACCAGGAAATGATGGAACTAAAAATTAAAATCTTTCAAGAAAGTAAGGCGGCACTGGAGGTACTCATATATCTATGCCAAGAAATTTGGAAGACAACTATCTGGCCAACTGATTGGAAGAGATCCATATTTATGGCCATTCCAGAGAGGTGACCCAACAGAATGTGGAAATCATCAGACAGTATCTTTGATATCCCATGCAAGTAAAGTTTTATTAAAGGTAATACAGAAACAGCTGCAAGTGTACACTGACAGAGACTTTCAGAGGTTCAAGTCGGATTCAGAAGAGGCCATGGAATGAGAGGGAATAGCAGTGTTGTTGTTGTTAGGTGCCATCGAATCAGACCGACTCATAGTGACCCCATGCACAGCAGAACGAAACAATGTCCGATCCTGGTCCAACCTCATCATTGCTGATGTCCAGTGGATCTTGGCTGAAAGCAGAGAATATCAGAAAGATGTTTACCTGTGCTTTATTGATTACGCAAACGATTGCATAGATCATGACAAGCTATGGACAACATTGCGAAGTATGAGTATTCCAGAACACTTGTGTTCATGAGGAATCTGTACATGAACCAAGAGGTAGTTGTTCGAACAGAACATGAGAACAATGAATGGTTTAAAATTTAAGAAAGGTGTGTGACAGGGTTGTATTCTTTCACCA